TATGTGTTAGCACCAGCATGTGGGTCTTGCACCCAAGAGGCTGCCATCACCCCCCACAGAGGGCCACAGCCCCATGCCGCAGGGCTGCTGGCAGCAGTGTCACCGTGCACTTGTGGAGGGAGGTGGGCGGAGGCAGGAGCCTCGCAGAGTGTCAGTGTGTCTCAGCCTGTGTGGGGGCGGAGGGCTGCAGCAGGCACCAGAACACGTGCCTGCCTGCCGCTCTGGTGGCTGGAGGCAGAGCGAGGAGAGACCCTGCTCCTTCCTGTCCCTCGCCCCTGCCTCTTGAGGGCTGGCTTCCCAGTTCCCCATCTTTGGACTCTGGCCCCTGGACACGATTGCCTCCTAGCCCTGACCTTGTCACTGCCTCACACTGTGACCCATCTGTGCAGTGAACAGACATCTCTGAGGTCCTCCCAATTCTGAGGATCTGGGAGTCCGAGATTTCCCATGGAGCTTTGCCACAGAGAGGGGCTACAAAGGCTGGCAACCCTAACGGGGCACTCAGGCACCTCCAGAGACAGGATCTCCATTTTACAGATAATAAACTTGATTCATACAATAGCCAAGTGATTCACCTAGGGTGAACACAAGTCAGAATCATGGTGAGTGGGAAGATGGAAGTTCCCCAGACATGGCACCCAGAGGGCCCCTTTGGAAAGCCTCTCCACCACACTCCGGGTGCTGGGGACCTGGAAGCCGTCCCCAGAGCCACACCTCCACCTCTCCCAGTCAGAGTATGTTCATCTGTAAGACAGAGGAGTGAGCCCAGTGGGTCTGCTTCTGCACTGAGCTAATGGATCTGGAGGTGCCTGCCCTAGAGTGCTGTACATGGGGAGGGGAGGAAAGCAGATTAAGGCCTGCCACTCATCCATGGGCAGGCTGGTGCCTTGGTGTTGTCTCTTTCCACGATGACACTGCCCATTCTCCTGACACCCTGCCAGGGAAGGACGGCATGACCAAGCATCTTCTATAGGTGTCAGATCTCTATAGGTGCAAGAAATAACCCTGGACCGACCCCCACACAAGGAGACATTTCCTCTCCTGTGGGCACATTTCCACCTGCGAGCAGCCCGGCCTAGCTTGGCGCATGGTACGGTGCTATGGAGCCAGAAGAAAACACAGAGGACCAGCCCTTTCCTCCCCTTTCCTCCCCGTCAGGCCTTGCTGGCCACCCCCCCAACCCCGTGCCACCTGAATCAATTTCAGATTCCTGTTTCTAGAGAGAAAAGAGTGGGTTGAGCGCTCTCTCTCCCTCCCTCTTCCTTTCTCGAGTGAAATCTCTTTCCAAGGCTCTTCCTGCACAGGCTGCAGGGGATTCTCTGCCTCACTAACCCCTGCTTCAGGGGTGTGATCCAATCCCCGGAATGTCAACGGCATCCTCCTCCTCCTCTGCTTCCCGCACCCCGCCTTTCCCTGGGCCCTCCAGTGCTTCCCTTGCACCGCCACCCCCTATGCTAGCATCTCTGCCCTTTTCAGAGATTCTGGACTTTGAAGAAGGCTAAGCAATCCGGGAATTCGGGCCTCCCCTGGACCTGATGCTGCAGCTGCCCCAAGCTAGCTTCTGTGCTCAAGGGGCTCATCGCAGGGCAGGAGAAGGATGGGGTCAAGACTGAAGGGAGTAGGGGCTGGGGATTTAGCTCAACGGCATAAGCGCCTGCCTTGCAAGCAGGCAGTCAAGAGTTGGATCCCCGGTACCGATAAAAAGGAAAAAGACAAAAAAAAAAAAAGACTGAAGGGAGTGAGCTCATGCTCTAAAAGAGATTGCCCCATCTGACCTATAAGAGGACCCAACAAGTTCTTGGCTCTTCTGGATTCACTGGTTCAGTGGGTTTTCAGCAGTTTGTAGCATCAGAAACACCTACTGAGGGGCTTCCAGCCCCAGCCCCAGCTGCCAAGGCAGCACTGGCAGCTCATACACCCAAGGCCAGCTCCACCCTGGGCTTCTCAAAGGCCTGCAGTGACATCCAGGTCTCACCAGGCAGAGCATCAGGACGTTCAGAAGAGGCATTTGCCCTCCTCGGCAGCTGGGCCACCCAGAGTCCAGCTGAGAGGCCCCAAAGCCCCCCTGTCCCATTTAGAGTTGACCTAGCTTCCTCTGTCAGTCCCCTCATTGGTTATTGGACTGGGTTCTGGAAAGGGGTTCAGTTCTGGGTGTCAACTGTAGGGTCCAGCTGTGAGGGTAGGAATCATCAGCTGGTAAGTGGGCCATGTAAGTATTTCCCCTAGAGAGAGGAGCAGGTTGCTCTGCCAGCCCAGGGCGGAATGGATCAGCCCTCCACTGCCTCTACTGGTCAATTCCAGGTAAAAGGTAAAGGTCTCAGCCCCATTCCTCAGCCCTGCCGAGCAGTCCCAACCCCAGCAGTGAGTCCTTCCCGAGGCCCACAGCCCAGCAGGGTAGAGGCTCCATTGCTGCACACACCATCTCATTTAATGCTAACAGCCCTTTTGTTTTTCTCTCCAGATCGCAAATGGGAGAAGAGTGTCACAGACTGCCCAGTGTCACCGAGTTAAGGGTGCGGTACCGTGGCTCCTGCCCCCCCACCCAGCCCCACTTGATCCTCGGGCACATGGCACCAGCTTCCTCTGTGATGTGCCCTGGCAGACAGACCTCTGGCCTTTGTCAGACAGACCTCAGGCGTGCAGCCGGCCGCCACAGCCTTTTCTCTCCTGCATATGCGTCTTTCCCTCGGCCCAGGTCCAGCCTGCCTGAGGTCGTGTGAGCCCCTGACACTGCACACAGCGATTTGCAGATTCGTGCATTTTCCTGGGAAATGTCAATTTTGACTTTCATCAGATTCCTGGAGGAATATGTGACCTAAAAAAGGTTAAGAGCACTGACAGTTCTAGAAGCAAAGGGTCTGAAATTGATTAGGCAAGGCCTGGCCGTGCCTGCTACCTCGGTTTTCTATTATAGGAGTACCAGGTCCCCTATACCTGGAATCCTGCCCCTCTGAGAGCCCAAGCAGGCAGCAGGGCTGAGAAGCTCACAAAGCATCTCCTGGCCAAGGCACTCCTGTAAAACTCTGTCTTGGTGATGCTCCATCTCCTCTCAGGGCAAAGCAGCACTTTTGTTTTCACTTTGAGCACTTGAATCACACCCCAACTTCATCTCACTCTACTCTGTGACGCAGGCCCGCCACAGCCCAGACTCGGCTGCTCTTTGAAAGGCAGCTCCTGGCTAATCAGAGCTCTTGGGCTATAGGTACACACCGGAAACCAGCTGGGGAGAAGACCCCGATAGAGTTTAGGGGACAGCCTAATTCTCCAGAGCAACTCTAGACATTGGATTCCTGCCCCCACCTCCAGCACAAAGACACTCGGAGAGGCAGGAAGTCTGCAGACCGGAGGGAATTCACATCAGCACAGGGATGGTGTGCGTCTGCACAGGGACTGGCATGTACTGTATGCATCATGATAGACTGAGTGTGCAAGTGTGTGTGTGTGTGTGTGTGTGTGTGCGCAGGCAACTGTTTATACACAGCCATAAGCCCACTTCCCACACATATGCAGACACCAGCATGAGCTCACAAGCCTGCAACACCCACATACCCACATGAGTCCATGAGCCCAGGCCACACACACACACACACACACACACACACACACACCTTCCTGTGTGCATACCCCCAGTCCTCACACAGATGAGCACATCTAGACTTCATAGGAACACCACTGTGTCCACATCTCTTCATGCATCCTTACACACCTCAGGCCCCACACGCTTGTGCCTGCTGACTTGCACACAGCTCCGACCTGCCATATGTGTGCACACACAGTGACGCATATCCGCACCATCGCTCCCATGCAACCTAGCCTACGGCACTTCTTGCGCAATCACACACAGGCACCCCTCGCACCTACACTTTAGGCTTTATACACAAGCACTTCTTCCTGGTGTTCACTCGTGTGTATGCATCATGTGTGAACACTGTTTTGGTGCACACAAGCACACTCTCAGGTCAGTCCTTATACAACACAATCAGTTCTCTCAAAAGTCCTTAAGCAACAACCAACATCAACGCCCTCCTCATAATGCACACTGCTGCATGTATATCCAACCCTCACACACCTGTCTACAGGCGCCTCTTCCAGAGCTCCTGCTGCTTCCACATGGACCAAACAGGGCACTGGCACCCTTCTTCCCATGAGGTGCACTCCACCTCCAAACTGCATCTCAAGCCTTGCTCTGTACTTGGGTCCTTCAGAAGCCTAACTGTGGGCACCTAGGAACCTTCTCTGATGCCCTGCTACCCAAAGGGGGCTCCCTTATCTCCTCACCCTCCCAGCCTCCTCAAATCAGCATCAGAGGCACCAAAAGAGCTCTGGGGCTGGGGAACTTTCACAAAGGACCATATCTCCTGCACCCTTCATATTTCCAGGCCCTGCGGCTGTGATGTGTCCCCCCCCACCCCAACAGTAATCGCTCACACATTAACCCCTCTTGTACCAATGCCCTTGTCCTGATAGGAGCTGGGCAGGAGGAGGCGGAAAGAGGAGGTGCTCATAGGAAGAAGCTGTCCACTCTGCACTGTGACTTCAGGGGTCTAGCATCAGGAAAGGTGCTGAGAGGGGATGAGCTCTCTGTCACTAGTGCTATTCATGTGAAACTAGAGTGGGATTCCAGCTTGGACTCCGCTGGGTTGGAAAATCCTTTTTTAACACAGAGTTTCTAAGAATCTGTTGTGCCCAGGTCATGTGTCCTTGTATGTATGTCCCATCAACCTTACACACAACATAAATACATGCACATAAACACACACACACACACACACACACACACCTGGCTAGCTTGACACATCTGAACCCACAGACATGCTAACAGCCAACTCTGGGCATGTTGTACACATGCAAGCACCCCCAAACCATGCAGCTTGCCTTCCTCTGTGCGCACGGAGAGCCCTGGAGAGGCAGGCACACGCTCCCTCCCTCACCCCGAGTGCCCTGCATCCACCCAAGAGGCTGACCCTATGCCTTCTAGGACTCCCTGCCGGGCAACTCACTTTCCCAGTTCCTCGAAGAGCTGGTACTCTTCTGTGAATCGAGTGCAGGTGATGGTGGCCATGCTGGCACCAGGCAGGCAGGCGAGGCTTGGGGTTGGGGGACCAGGACTGGAGCGCTGCTGCTGTGCTCCTAGAACTAGGAGCCACTCGCCTGCCTGTGCTGCCAAATGCAAACAGAGAACCGGCTTGACTGACGAGCCTGGGGCTTCTGAGCAGGGCACTGTGGCTGCTCACAGCCTCGCGAGCCTTCGTCAGCATCCAGGTCCCCATGGCAACCACCTCCAAAACGCCCTGTTCCCGTTGCCCCGGTAACTGCCTCCCCAACACCTGCCTGCATTCCACTGTGAAACCTGCTCCCGGACGGATGCCCTGGCCCTACCACGCACAATACCGCAGACCTGTGTGGGTCCAGGTACAGGTGGACCCAACGCCCCCAGGGTGAGGGACTGAGGCAGAGTAGAGAAGGGACACAAGAACAAACTTAGTCCACAAGTGATCTCTCTTCCCACCTCCCCCACCTCCAACTGTGGAGCCCTTATAGCAGACGGGATGGGATTAAGTGGGGCAACGAGGCAGTTTCCATGGTAACATCCAGTGGGTGCCACGTTCCAGGATGGTCCGAAGGAAGGACAGGATAGAGTTACCCTGGCAACTTCATCTCTTCTGGAGAGACAGGTATTGCCCCGTTGCCCTGGCAACAGCCGGGTTCTAGGGTTTACAGGGAAACGATAGTTAATTCATTGGGATCTCTCTCTGTGGATCACTGTTGTTCCTGTATCTCTCTCCCCTCTGTAATTCTGTCGTGTTTCGTCTCTGCCTCTGTTCTTATTTTGCTCTTGCTCTCTCTGCTGTCCTGCCATGCTTTCCATCACACTGGCGTTCTTGCCTGGGGAAGAAGTACAGTCGAGACCCCGAAATACTTGAGGGAGCAACTCTGGTTGCCTGCTCACCCGTACGTACCTCTCACAGCAGTGACAGATGGGTCCCTTCCAAGGCCTATTCTGCAAGCTCTCCTCCACCCTGTGCCCCACAGGACCATGAAGATCTGGTCCCCTGGGGCTCATGGCCCAGTTTCTGCAAAAACAGGCGAGAGGCAGCTGCAGCAATTTAGCTAGGGCTGGGGCCATGGCTGTGGACCTGCCCTGCCCTGAAACCTCCATCCCAAATTCGGTGGACACCTTCCCTGCCGACGTTAATTCTTCAGGACATCAACCACACCGACAGCCCCAAAACTCACCCTAAATCTGAGGGAGTTGAAAAGAAAAGGTACTGGAGTTTAAAGATCAGAGTTCAAGGTCCAGCTCTGGCATTAGCTGCGTGACCCTGAGAAAGTCACTGGCCCCCTCTGAACCTCCAGCTTCTTTTCCACAAAATAAGAGAACAAAACTGTCTGCAGAGGAAGGTGGTGAAGGCTGAATGGCCTAATGGCTGTGATGGCCCTCGGGGAGTACACAAACATGAATTCATTAAAAAAAGGTTTCTAGGAGAAAGGGAAGGTTTCAAGTGGGACACTGACCATGCTTATCCTGGCTTGGACTTGGAACCTCAGATTCTACACACCCACCCCTTCCACTCAAGAAAGAAAAGGGTGCCTTAGCTCATTTAACAGCCCAAAGAGCTGAGGCTGGCACCAGACCCCTGTCCCATGAGCATGAGACAGATAAGAAAATCCAGGAATCCCAATGTTCTGGATTTCCAGCTCAACCCTTCCTTCTGAACCTCTAGATCATCTACTAGTCACCTTGTTTGCTGGATACACGACCTACCTTGTGGTGTTTTCCAGCCTCAACAAGCCCCAAACTCAGGGCCCCAAGTCCAGGGGACCCTGGAGATGTCAGGGTACCCTCTATTCTGCCCCTCTTCCTTGGAGTCAGGTTGGGGAGGAGGGCTGAGCTTTCTGATTCAGCCACTCTTTCCAGGAGGGAAGAGGGCGGGAAGCAGAGGGGAAGGAAGGGAGAGGGAAGGGGGAGGGGATAATGGCTTAGCCACTAATTGCACCATTACCACCTTCAGAAAAAGGAAAAACCACTCCGGTTTGTTTCTGTGCACAATACGCTTCTGGCTCCTGCCGCCAATGTCGCAATTCAAAGGCAGGGAGGAGAAAGCCAGCAGGGCACAGAACACCGCGGCCAGCACACAGGCACCTGCAGGGAGGCAGAGGCAGAACTGCACCTCCACTCTCCTGCCCCAGCCCTCTAGCCTGTCTCAGGAGGGATGGCTTCCACACTGACAGGGCCGTCTCTTGGCCAGGGGAGAGGACAGGCAGTCTTGTTCAGTTGTTAGAGTTCCTGCATGACCTCTAGGCTATGTGACTCAGGAGGCATATCCTAGCTTCTCCGTCCCTCGACTTATCCAGGTGCAAAATTGGGGGCTACTATCCCCTATCTCCAGGGCTGAGTGCGATGAACACAGTGGCTGACAGCATGTGTGTTTCAGATGTGGGGAACTGTCATTACTGAGGGACTCCAACGTCCGTGAAAGCTCACACAAGCACATCAGTGTTCTCTGAGCACTCACTGGAGTTCAGCTCCTGGTTTGGACCTGGACTTGCTCGAGCATGTTTGCAATAATTCCTACGGGACAAAAGCCTGCGGCTAGGAGAGGTCACCAGGACTTCGTCATCAAGTCCCAGCTTAGTGATAACTCTGCTTCAAAAAGCAGTAAAAACAAAAAAGTAAATGTTCTGTGAGGTTGGATTAACGGAAAAATCTACCATTCTGAACAAGGAAGGTGATAGCCCTGCTTGGCCTGGTGATGCCTGACGGCTCTCTCCACATCCCTCCCTCTGAGGAAAAGGAAGAAGTTCAGAAACAAGGGGGTCCGTGGAGGAGGGCCCAGCAGTGCGCCACTGCAAGCACCCACAGTGACTCCAAGGACAGCATGCAGGAACAAAGCAGCAGAAGTGGCCAGCTCACTGCTTGTCTCTGCAGGGACCACAGGGCCCTGCGAGGTGCAGGAGTAATCAGTTCCTGTATGCGTGCTCTTCCTGCTCCCATCTTCCCTTTGTTTTTTGTTATCTTTTTTTTTTTTTTTTTTTTTTTTTTTTTTTTTTTTTTTGTCTTTTTGAGACAGGGTCTTGCTATGCAGTTCAGACTGGTCTCGAACTTGCAACGATCCTCCTGCCTCAGCCTCCCGAGTGCTGGGATTACAGGCATGAGCCACCACGCCCGGCTCCATCTTCCCTTTCAATGCTTTCTGCTTTTTTCCTCTCTTGTCCTGTCTCCCTCCCCTTATTTTCACCCTTATTTCCCCTTCCTCCCCTTCTCATTCTATCATTCCTGGTCCCTCTCACTTCTATCCCTGCTTCTGCTTCATTTTCTCTGTTCCTGGCCTCTGTCACTTCTCTCCCAGATATGTGGTCCTGGGAGATGGGCAGGTCCCACACTGCAGAATCCATCTGATGGTGCAGGCAGCTGGACAACAGAGGGAGGGAGAGGACAGGGAGAGGACAGGGCCTTGATGGTGCATCTGTCTCACACATGCACGTGTGCACACCCCGTGGAACCTCCCAGCACTAGCTCAGGCGAGTGGGCACTACTTCCAATGGGCACCCCCATACTGAGTGCAACAGCCGCTCTGCAGAAGCAGAACAACTGCTAATTCACTGCCTCCCCTGTGCCTTCGAGGCTGGCAGCTGGGCCTGGTGGTGGAGGGCAGCAAGGAGCCAGGCATGCCTCTGTGTCACAGAGAGAATGAATGATGATTGCATCAGGGGGATTGTTCCTGCCTGCCAGACTCCCTGCTCCCCAGGGCCATGGCAGGCACGAGAGACAGCACGTGTGCCCCTGTCTGCAACATGTGTGTGGCACAACAGGAACAAGCCTGTGTGTCATGGGCTGGTGGCTGGAGCCAGGAGCCCTGCAGGCTGCCGAGCATGGCCTCAGCATGCCACATAGGCATGGGCTCGTGAGCACAGGCAGTGCCTCATGTCAGTGAGGGGAACAGAAGGCAACCAGGGCTGAGGTCCTGGGTGGAGACTGGAGCCCAGGGATACTGTGACACTGAACTCAAATCCCACCCTCCATAGCTTATCCATGTGATCACACGCATATGCCTGAGTGTTGCAAGGTCCTGCAGGGTCTGAGGAGGAACCACGGAAAACATACCATCAGTAGGGTCCCCATGGGGCCTGTCCCACTAAGGGTAGTGAGCACAGGGGGCAGAACCAGTGGAAAGTGGGCCAGAAGGGACAATCCTGCCTAGGGTCTGGACAGAAGTGATCAGGTTAATCCATCACAGCCAGTGATGGCAGGTTTGAGCACAGAAAGGGGGAAGTCGGGAGCAGTGCTATCTCCAGATATTCCACAGAGAGACCTTTCTTGTGGAGGAAAACAAGTCAAGGCCCCACAGGATGGGACACAGTGGCTATTGAGCCAAACACCAAGTAACCTTCAGGAAGGACCTGAGTTCCAGGTCTGGGAGGGCTAGGTGCAGGCTTTTTTCCCAGAGGCCTCCACTTCCTCTGAGAAAGATGATGGAGACAAGATATTCAGTGACTCCAAGGACTTGAAAAGCAGTTATACCCTTCTCAGACCAGGCCTTGTGCTGAGAACGCTACACACTGCACTGTGTTCACTTCTCCACAAGTTTCAGTCAGATAGGCACAATCACACCCCTTTTACAAAGCTGTGATGCTACTTATTCACCCAAACCATGCCACTGAGGCTCATCCAGGTCTGCAAGACGTCAGTGTCCCCATCTGAGTTATTAAGTTTCCACTAGGGCTGGAAGGTCCTTGAGAGGGTACACGCATCTTACAAATAGGGGACCGAGGCCCAAGTCACACATGTCAGAGGTGGTCAGGATAACAACCTAGAACTCCTGGCTCGCATCATCTTCTTCCCTTAACCTGTGCTGCCCTCCCTGCTCCTGAGCACACTGTCGGGGCATCAAGGGTGCTCGCTATCCCAAGGTGGCCAGCAGGCACCGGTAAAAAGAGGAAAGGCATCCAAGGCCCAGGCAGATGTGGGCTTTCACCTGACTTCTGGAGGATTGGTCAACAGGATGGGGCACCACAGTAAAGGTCCATTGTGGATGAACTGCCACCTGGCTCCAAACTGCTAGTTAACAGATCTGCTGCCACCCAGTCCAGCCAAGGGAGACACAGGGACCTCTGCAGACGTCACTGGGCTCCAGTCACCCAGCTCTATATTCAAGGAGCTAGTGCTGCCTGTTGCCCTTCTTCCTCCCTCTTCCCCCTCCATAAAGAGGCTGGGTGGTAGGAGCACCTGCTCTGCAGTGCTGGAGAGGAGTTCTGGGAGCTGTAAGAAGCCAAAGGGCCAGGAGGTAGGCATGCTGATTGCTGGACAGAGCAGGAAGCACAGCAGGCAGAACCTCCCAAAGAACGACCTCCACCAAACTAAGGCCCAGACCAGCCACCATCTCGCCCTTGATCAGGCTGCAAGCAGGAGCTTGAGTGGGGCTGTTTCCTTGACTGAATAGAATTAGGTGAGTTCTGGACTGGGTTATAAACTAGGCCGAGACCTGGACCAAGCCTCCTTCTCTGAAGGCACCAGGCCCTTTCCTCAGCTGATCTCTAAGCTTTGGGGCCAGGTTAACTGCAGGGAGTGGGCCTTAGTGCCCAGGGGCTTGCAGGGCTCCAGAAATGGAAAGGGGACTAAGGCAGAGGTTGGGCCACCTTGAGCAGGGCCAGCCTGCTAGTGCAAGCCTAGAGCCACAGGAAATGGCTCCATGCCTCTCAGGAAGGCCCAACACACACACTGCTGGAAGAAGCATACAACAGAGCTGGAGCAACCTGAGCAGTGGGCAGCCTCTGGACTGCCCACCCCCTCGTGTACACCTGGCCCAAGAATCCACCCTAGTGAGCAACTCTTCAGAGCCTCCTTCCTGAGCACGCAAAAATACTGCAGTCTCTGACATCAAAGCCTCTGCAGTCCTGGCCCCTGTCCCGCCAGCTGGACATCACCATCATGGAAGCAGGGAAAAGGTCCAGTGGGGAGGCGACAGGCAGCAAAAAGAACAGGGCCAGGAGGAAAGGCCTAGGACACAACGGTCGCTTCCACCCTGCGGCCCCAGGCCCCAGACTCACTCCTGACTGTCCTGGCCTTTGGGATGCCCCTCTCTAACCAATACTCAAACCCCCCCACCGCACTGCACCCACCGCACCCCACCCCACCCCACCCCACCCATCCCGCTCATCCACAAGCTGACGAGTCCTAACAGGCCTCCTTTGCCAGTTACAAAAATAACTATTTTCAAAATTCACAGCAGGGCTTTCGCCTACACACACTGCACCGACTGGAACCTGAGGGGAGATATGCAGAACGCAGTGTGCGGATGGAGACGCTGTGCAGCAGGCAGGCTTTGCAACCCCCACGCCCATCCTGCCCCACACCAGCCTGTGCACCCCCAGAATGCATAGCCAGTGATGCCCACAATGGCCAAGTGGAAAGGACACTTGGACCCTCGACTGTCTAGAGGAGGACACTGAGACTCAGAGTAGGTCAGGGGTTTGCTGAAGGTCACACAGTGTATTTGTGGCAGGACTCTTATACGGTCCTGGCCAGACTGTCTACCTGTTCTCGCATCCTCTCAGATGTCCAAGAGCTCACACTCACTCCAAGGATCCACATGCACACACACACACACAGATGTGTTCACAGACACTACTGCACTCCTCCTCTGCATAAAGGCATTTAATCAAGTTCACAGGCTCCTTCACAACCATTCGGTGGGCCAGACTTCTGCAGTCCTTTGAGGTAGGCACAGCCAGGAGAGTGAGACCCCGAGGGGAAGGACTGTGCCTAAGGTCAAAGGAAATGATAGGGTCAGGGGCTCTTTTCACCGCTGTTTCTGTTGCCCTTGACACTGCAGCAGCCGGGGGCCCAGGCAGTAGCTCTGGGTATTTGGGGACAGAGAGAACCTTCCACCATGGCCTTGATACCTCTGGTCAGGACTGGCCTAGATCATGTGAAGACCTAAGAAGGACAGTCTCCCAACCTAGCCACTGTCACCCTCAGCTCCCAGGGTCCCTTCAAAGAGCAGTCAGCTAGCCATGCTGCAGCTAATGTCCAGCTAGAAGCTGCTTCCAGGTGGCCCCTCACCCAAGCAGCAGTAGAGACCAGGAAGGGGGAAAGGTCTGGTGCAAGATATGAGGCAGCGAGGCTGGCCAGGACTGCACCGGGACCCCAGGGACCAAGTGCACCTCAGAGTCACGAAGTCATCAGAGCTTGTTTTACAGATGAGGAAACTGAGGCCGGAAGCTCACATAAGTCACCTGAGGTCACAGCACAATCAGTGAAGAGGCAGGACGGGAATCCCAGTCTGCCTATCTCAGCCCCAGCAAGTTTCCCACCCTGTCCAACTGAAGGGCTCTGCCCCTCCATTTCCCTGCAGAGGGAGACTCGACCTCAGGCTTCTACCTGAGAAGGAGTAGGACCAGGCTGAAGTGGGGAAAGATCCTGCCACCCCCGCCATCAGATCCTGTGGGACATCAGCCTGGTGTTGAGTTTACGGAAAAAAGACCGAAGTTTGCAAATCTTGCACTTTTTCTTACGGCGACCACGGGAGAAGCTTCGAGCTCTGCTTTCTTCCTCATCTTCCTCTTCTTCCTCATCACTGGCCCAGGGCCCCCACGCGCCTCCATTAAAGTCAGGATGAGCCCGAGGATTCTCGGCCGGGTAGCGCACAGGGATAGCAGTACGGTTATAGTCAGCCAGGCGGGCCAGCAGGGCTCGGACCACATCAGGTCGCTGGCCAGCCAAGTCTTCCCGTTCATAAGGGTCAGCGCTGATGTTGAAGAGCCACACAGCCTGGCGGACACTAGCCATCCGCTCCAGATTCCACCAGCTGCCGGGGAAGGCAGCCAGTGTCTGCGGTGGAATCCAATCGCCAGAGCCGGGGTCTCCAGTCAGCAGCTTCCACTCGCCCACACGAATGGCAGCCTGGACTGCAGTATTCCAGATGCCAAAGCCACCCTCCAGGGAGCCGTGCTGGGCATGGTTGTAGAGCGGGTCAATGTTGTGCAGGATCTCTGTGCGAGGTGAGGCCCGGCCCTCGCTGACGGCCGGCCACACATCATAGCCATCAAGCCCATCGGCTGCTGACACAGTGCCTCCTGCCAGACCCACCAGGGTTGGGTACCAGTCCGTGATATGCACCAGTGCATGGCTGGTCCATCGCTTTCGCTTGAGCAAAGGGCTGTGGATGAAGCCTAGGCCCCGCACACCTCCCTCCCAATAAGTGCCTTTGCGTCCTCGGAGGGGCCAGTTGCTGCCTCCAGAAAAAGTCTGACCGCCGTTGTCACTGGAGAAGATGATGACACTGTTGTTATAAAAACCATAGCGCTTGAGGGCCCAGGTGATGTTGCGCACAGCCTCGTCCATGCAGGTCACCATGGCTGCGTACTTCCTCCGGGCCACGTTGCCCATGGTGCGGTAGCGGTACAGATACTCTCGGGGGGACTGGAGGGGCGTGTGCACAGCCTGAAAGGCCACATAGAGAAAGAGGGGCCGCTGGGGGTTGTGGCTGGCCAGGATGTGGCTGGCGCGCTGGGCATACAGCATGGTGGAGTATTGGCCGCTGAGCCCCCAGGCCACACTCTCACCCTCGTGCAGGTCAAAGCCGCACACCCCTGGGCCGTCACAGTTGTCGTAGGTGTAGTAGTCCACGTTGCCTGTGAGGGAGCCCAGGAAGGTGTCAAAGCCCCGGCGCGTGGGCAGGCACTCCTTCCGGTAAAAGCCCAGATGCCACTTGCCCACCATGTGGGTGGAGTAACCTGCCTCCTGCAGCTTCTGAGGCAGGGTCACCTGGTCCAGGGGCAGGCAGTTGGGCTGCCGAGGGCGGATGATGGAGTGCTGGAGTCCTGTATGGATCTGGTATCTGGTTAAGGGTGGGGAGAGAAGGAACAGGTGAGCTACAGACCACCGGTGCCACCAACCAACCCAAACACCATCCTAAGGTGGGTTCTGGTAGCAAAAACACTACCAACAACCAGCTATGACCTAAGGGGTCAAGCACCTCAAATACATTATCCACTGAATCCTCAACATCAACGTAAGGACGTATTACTATCAATGTGCAGATGATACGGAAGATCAGAATGGTTAAGCCAACTGCCCAGAAGGAAACTGGGGAATTAAGAGTTGAACCTAGATTCATAATGGCAAAAATGGTACCTAACATGAAGCACTCCCTGTGTGCTTAACCTCATGCTAAGCCCTGCAAATTATCATCCTAAATCCTTACCACAGACTAGGAGGTACGTGCAACTATTTCCCATTTCCCAAATAAGGGAACTAAGGCTCGGCAAATTAAATTGCTTGTCTAGTGATCCACATTGCGAGTAGTTGGAATGGCATTTGTATCCCAGGCAGTCTGGCTCCAAGCTTGAGAGTCCCTGAGCTCTTGAGGCCATTAACTTGCTCTGAAGTCTACAGCAAGTCTTGATCTCCCAGGCCAACTCCTACTCACTCCTGAAAGCCCAACTCAAAATCCCAACTATAATGTCTTGCACAGCTCTCTCAAAGTTTGAGTCACTTTTGCTTCTGTGTTCCCCAGCATTTAGTACACACGCTCATTGTTCTACTTGGCTATGAAATCATACTCAGTTGTCCATGCTCATGGACCCAAAGACATGTAATAACATTATCTTCTACCCAACTTTGTATTCTTAGCACCCAGGTAATACTTAAAGCACACTCAGTTATTAATGAATGAAAGAATGAATGAATGAATGAATGAATGCTTGATTGACATTCAGAGAGTTTTAGAGCCAAAAGGATCCAGCTCCTCTCCTGCTTTATTCACTTAGTCTTTAAAAGAAACTAAGGTCAGAGGAAAGGAAGGGCCTTTCCCAAGGTCACTCAGTGGTCAAGGGTAGAGCTAAGACACCAACATAAATCCAAGCAAAGCTCATACGGGAACTCGTTTTCAGCAAACTAGGCTGTCACGCCCCTTTCCCCTTCGGCTTGGGCTTGCTCATGTGTACGTGCAGACTAGCTGGTGTGGGAAATCTAAGCGGAGACCAGCTCCCACGTGCCTGTTCCTGAGCTCGTGTGGCCTCTGGATCCAGGTCACTCACAAAGCCTAAGGCTTTGAGGCAAAAGTAATGGTTAGTGGGATCCTGAATTCCTCGTTTATTCATTCATATCCCATCTTTCTCCATCTGTGGTCAAAGCCAACATGTGATCCACATTATGGTCTTTTTTTTTCTTTTTGGAGACAGTCGCACTATAGAGTTCAAACTGGCCTTGAACTCACTGCAATCCTCCTACCTCAGTCTTCTTAGTGTTGGGATTACAGGCCTGTGCCAACACACCCCAGCTTACAAATTCTAGTGTAAACAAGAAGCCTGGAACTTCACAAGTATGTTAGAACCCCTGCACTCTTTTTTTTCACTCCCAGACATCCAAGCTAACCAAGATCTACCTGAATTCTTGACACTTCTGTAGGTAAGGGGGTTTTTGTTTTGACTTCTTCATTTTAAAGCTGTTGTTACTGTTAACTATAATTAGCTACTATGGCCATTTTAGACACTATGTGACATACACATACCTTATCTCATTTAATCATTTTTTTAAAAATCTATACAGGAGACTTTGATTGCTCCCATTCTACAGATGATAAGACAGAGGCTCCCAAAACTACAGCAACTGGCCCAAGATCAGAAAGCTGGCAAGCAGCTTGATCTCTGACCTCTGGTTACCCCATCCATGCTCAAAATCTTTGGTGAGCCCCTCCAGGCCTCAGTCAGGCTGATAAAATGATCGCACTCTGTTGATAGAAGCACCCTAAGGCCCCAGGGCCCTAATTCTGTGCTGGGACGTGGTTCTCCAAGCTGAGGTGCTTTGAAATACTGGCTTGTAATGTGGGTGGGCCAGCCAAAATCAAGAAAATCTACTGCATGTAAGTAATCTGAGAAACTGTGGCCCTCTCTGCCTCCACCAAATGGGGCCGAGTGCATTAACAAATGCTAACAAGCATGGAACACAGAGCATGGTCAGAGGCAGCCAGCTGCAGAGGGTGGAGGGCAGACACTGCCCGCCAGGCTCAGCTAACTTCACGGATCAGGAGGCTGGAGCGCTGCCCCACTGGCGGCTCATTCCACTGCTTAAACCAGACGTCACCGCTCTCTAGGGAGAGAAAGGCTAACTTGTACAAAACACGTGGAATGCAGATTCCTTCTCCCTCAGCAGGAAATCAGTGGATCTCCTGCCTTCACCACCAGAACCACAGCCCCACCTGTAAAAGACACATACCCAGCCCCTCCTTCTCCGTCCCTGGATCTAAACCCTGAGCACTAGATCCAAGAAAGAAAAGGCACCACCACTGGATTCCCATCTCCAGGGTCCCTGCTGAACAGCCCCCTCTCCTACAAAACCCAGAAGTCTGTCCCAGGCATGAGCCTGGGTCCTCCCTGACCTCCTGCCTCAGTTTCTCCCAGCCTGGGAGAAGGGACTGCAGTCTGGGGTAGAACTTGGCAGAAAACACACCTTGGCTCCCTTTCTAAGAGGATTAGCTTCAGCCCTCCCTGCCAAAAGATTTTCCCTTAAGTGGCCAGAGCTGGCCTTCCACAACCCGCTTCCCGTTTCCCTGCTCTTTGAACCCTGTGATCCTGCTATATCTCCTTACAGAGAAAGCAGCGTGTCTCCTTGGGGCTCCTTGCCAACCTGGGGGAATTTAGCAGATGAAAAAAATGGAGATTTGAAGAGTGAAGTAACCAGCCCAACTGTGTCTTTCTCCTCCAACTATCAAGTCCTTAGTTCTCCCGCGTGTTGTGACTGAAGTGTCGGGGACCAGGATCTTTGCTGCGATAGCTGCCACTTACTAATGACTAAGCAAGTTACACACTGTAAGGATTTTGCCCTAGATAGGATACTACAGCAGTGGGAGGCTTTATCTTGAGGTCATTTTCCCCGCCTCTAGGCAGTTTACCTGTGACCTTCCAATCAGCTGCTGGCGCATCAGTAATGCCCCTTTAGGCACCACCCCACACCAAAGCTATATGTATGTCCCCCACACCGACAGAGAAAGCCAGGCCCCGGCAGACATGGACCTTCTCTCTGCATCTTTAAAATAGAAGCCACTTTATATTCTGTCTTCTAACGGCACCGAAAACTCTTTCACACACAACTTATTCCCTTTCACTCACTACTCACTACTCCCTTTCAACTGTCCTTTGCCCCATTTTATAGACAAGAAAACTGAGGTGTAACAAAGCATGGAGGCTCAGGGTCTGTCAATAGGAGGAGCATTGGAAATAAATGTCACAGGCCACACTCCCCGCACAACAGGATGATCAGACAGCTCTGCGTCCTGTGGAAGGTGCACGTCCTACAACACCAGAGGGAGATCGCTGGATGATCAAACCCATTCAGTATAACTGTAGGCAAGTTGAGGGCCCAGAGAGAGGACTTCCAATGACTGCTCAGCCAGTTGGAGGGAAGAGAAACCCATAACACAGACTCCCCTAGTCTCAGCCTGGGTTTGTTCTGACACGGGACTCTGACTGGTGTGTTGGGGGCTTGAATGACTAGCCACAAGGGTCCTGTCGCACCTACCTGCCGGTGAGGAGCTGGCTCCGTGAAGGCGTGCAGATTGGCTGGATATAGTAATTCTCCAACTTGACGCCCTCCGCTGCCAGCCGGTCCAGCGTAGGGGTCTCAATATCTGAGCCATGGTAGCCCACGTCGTGATAGCCCTGGTCGTCGGTGAGGATGAAGATGATGTGGGGACGCTGGGGCGGAGCGGCCAAGGGCTGTTCCACGCCATCCTCCCCGGGTCCGTCGGCGACGAGGCTCGGCTTGGACCAGTCCCAGGACAGGTAGCCGAAGCTGAGCAGGCTGACCAGAGAGAAGCCCGTGAGGGCGTGCATCGCCAAGCCGGCCTCGAGTCCAGGCGCGCAGGGTTCCACGGGCCTCGTTGGCTCGCGCGCCCAGGGCGCACGGCTCTCCCGCCCGCCTGGATGCTGCGGGAGTGCCCAGCGCCCTGGGGCCGCCCGGTGTCTGGTCCCAGGAAGGCGGTGGCTGCAGCCGGGTGCCTGGAAAGGTCAAGCCCGTGCGGTGCTTCCCCGGCCGTCCCAGCACCCGCCCTGCACCGCCCTCTCCTCCTCTCCCCCGGTTCACCCGGGCCAGCCTGGGACGTAGCGTGGCGGCCTCCAAAAAGTGCTCTCCACCATCCTTTGCCTCTCCTCTTCCTTTTGGTGCCGGATTTCTCCCGCCTCCTAATTTCTCTCGCCCCTGCTTCGCCTTTCTCCTCCCCCCACCCCGACCCTCCAGCCCAGGCTGGCCTCTGGCCCCGCCCGGAGTGCTCGGAACAGTGGAGTTCCCCCAGGGAGCTGGGCAGGACCCCGGAGGAAAGGGGAGGGAGACGCTGGCTGGGTGGGCTGGGCGGGCCTGGGGGGGACACCGCGGGAGAGAATGCGAGAAAGTTGTAACATCTGCCCCGCCAAGACCCAGGTGGAGGGGCGGGACGCGAGCGACGGCTCCTCCCCCGGGCGAGAGCCCAGACCTGCCTGCCGGCTCCGGGCCCCGCCCCTTCCCGGGACTGGGAAGAGAAGGGCGGGGGGCTGCTTGGAATTTGGTGGAACAACTCAGGAATGGCCCAGTTAGACATTCCTGGATCATGAAGTCTTAGCATTTGTGAGTGCCAGGCCTGGAAGGGGCGCCACCATTTTCTATTCCAACCGGGTCATTCTAAGGATGGAGAAACTGAGGTTCTGAAAACGTTTGGGTCACAGAGCAAAAAAGGGAAGCGACCTTGGCAGGGGAAAGGTATCAGGTGGGGAGATGCACTGGGGCTGGCTTTGCTTAGTGGCTTCTTTACTGGGGTTCACAGTGGCTGCTTGAGTAGCTGTGTCTTTCCCTGGGCTGGTCCTTTGGCAAGTTTGGTCCTTACCAGCTTTCCTGTCCTCAAAGTCTTCCTTTCTTGCAGTTCCTAACTAGAATCTTAGGGTGCCGGCTCTAGGAACCAGAGGGCAGAGTGCTATACACATCTTACACCTCCTGGGTCCAGCTCACAAGTCAGCCTCTGCTGCACGACGGAATGCGTTAGCGGGTTTCTAGGGCCACTCAGGCCAACTCCCTCTCCCGCCAAGGACACCTCCCCACCACAGCATGCAAGCTCAGGGACTCAGGCAAGTGTCCAAGTGGGTAAGGCTCAGGCAGTGCTGCCACAGGGAAGCACAGGGCTGCACTCAATTAAAGACTGAAGCCTTATTTCCAGCTGCCCGTGTCACCCAAGAAAGTGGAGCAGTGATCTTCTATTTCTCATGAGGAACACCCAAGTCCAGATTATTGTGGGAACATTTCAACTGTTTTCTTTAAAGGAAAATTTAAGTATTGCATAGGCCAAATCAGTTGTGTCCAAAGAATATATCAATCCATAGGACCATTTGTAAGCTCAGCTCTGCATCATTTTCTGTATTTTTCAAATGGGAAAACTAGACTAAACAAATTGAACTAGGCTTAACTTTACTCCAAGGACTTCACATGTTTAACATGCTGACTGCTGATCTCCTGGAGCAGGTGAGCAGAGCTGAGTTTCACTGAATTATGTGACCAAAGACCTTTTTTCAGAGCTGCTAGAAGGACAGGCATCTCAGGAACCTGGGGAAACAAAACTGGCCCAGTGCATCTTTCCTGCTCAAGCCTCTCCCCTGCCAAGATCACTTCCCTTTTGCTGAAAACCACTGTGGATGAGGAAAGAAACCAGACCACCAAAATAGCAGCCTGCTGAGATTCTGCATTTCGAAATGAGGGCTGCGTGGGGCAGCAGCTCCAGCTCCTGTTCGCTCAAAGCCCCATATTTAGGTGACCATATTTATCAGGAGAGAAAACTGAGCCTGTTGTTCTAGCAGGAAAAAAAAAAAAGAAGGATGAGGACAGGAAAAAACCTTCCTGAGGGGAAGGTTGCTAAAACATTGTTTCCAGAGGCTTCAGCCCAGGCTGTTGTGGGTATCAAATGGGATGAATCACCGAAGGTCAGGCAAACCTGGGCTGTGCATTCTTTACATTGTCCCAGACCTTAGTCAGAGGCATGAGTCTGTGAGGCTCTCCCAAGTAAGGACAAGACTCGCAGTATTTCAGGATCCAAGACCGCAGGCTCGGACATTAGACTGCTTGAGTTCGAATCCTACCACTTATGCAGGATAAGGCCTAATTTCTTGGTCTGTAAAATGAGATGATAACACAAATGAGATATACTTCAATGGTGAGTAAAATGTCCAACACAGGGTAAGCACCCAATTACTACACACAGTACTAATTTTTCTCTGTGCCTTGAGAGGAAAGACTAAGTCCTGTGGGTGAAAGTCACCCGGAGACAGATTTTCAGGCCAACCTAAAGGATTACTTTTATAGGCACTCTGGCAGCTTGCTTAACAAAAGGATGGCAGCAGCGTGTGAATCACCATGTGGAGAAGAGTAGGTGGGCCTCTGGGCCAACTTTTGTTCCCTGGCATTCACATTTTTCTAAGGAGGCTCTTGATAATCACCAAAACCCAGAGTGGCCTCATGGGGCACCATCCCCCATCTAATGCTGTAGAGACGTAAACACAGGACCTCAGCTCTGGCTTAAATGCCATTCCACAGCTGGGCCAGGCTGAAACATTTAAACCAGACATTTCCAGAACCTTGGGGATGACAAGATGGAAATAAACACAAAGTGTGATGGGAATCCAGGTCACACCACTTTCAAGATTGGTTATTTCTCTTCCCTTTGTTTCCTTTCCAGAGTGCTTAGCCGCCTTCTAGGACAGTGCCCACCAGCAAGCACTACCTTCACTCAGCCAGACTCTCAAAGTTCCAAGATTTTCAAGCTCAGGCTCAAGGAGGAAGATTCAGAGAAGCAGACATTCCCTGACCCACAGGCTATCCAGCCTTTGCATTTTCCTTACCAATTCAGCTGCTTCCTGTTAGAGTTTTCCAGCACAATAAAGGAGCAGAATATAAGAAAAAGTAAAAGTGGCCTTTTTATTTAAAGGATGTGGAGAGGAGCTCACAGCTAGCATGGTTTGGCTTTCTCCTCTGACTGAATATGCAGGTGTGGGGTATTTGTGACCTTAGACCGGATGTGATGGTTGGGGCGGGCAGGAGCTGATTGGAATTTTCTTCAGGGGAGGGGCCTCAGGGTAAGCATCCCCAATTTAGCTTTCCACTATGTTGAACTACCGTCATAATGTCCTATGATTTATTCTAGGCCAAAACTTTTTCATTTCCAAGGTGATTGGCTCAGAAATACCCACCCGTATAAGCAAAGATCTGCCCCATTCACATAGATGTGCTTTATCTCTTAACCCCAAAAGATATCCACACTAAACACTACAAAAAACCTAACATCTACCCACGAAATGCAGATCAGAGGTGGCAGGGGTGTAGTTTTGTTACTTCCTAACTGTCAGAGATTTCACTTCCATTGATGAGATCAGACTTCAAAAAGCACTGAGTTCCCTATAACTGGATCCAAGCAAGAAGGTAATAATGAGCCTATTTGTCTAGGTGGCAGTGGAAGAGATTCCTGAACAAAACGGGGAGCAAAACTAAGACTTCGAAAGCTGATTCCAACTTGAAAATGTCATCATTCTGTTTGTCCTCAGAGACCTTTTTAGAATGTAGAAATAAAAAAGTGAAACATTAGATGAGTCTGTTTTGTAGCCTTGTCTTTTGGTGCTGTTTATGTGCACACATGCGTGCACACGCACTTGAGAGAATAAGTGTGTATTTATGTTTGGTTACCTTTGAATTAAAATTATCTTAGTATAAATATTATTTCCTTCTAGCGTATTGCCCTTGGCAAGGACCTTGTGCACAGTGTTATGGTTTATATCTAGATGTCCCTTTCCAAAGCCTCATGTGCTCTTAGGTGGGTTTTTGGGGAGGTGATTAGATCTTGGGGTGTCCACTGATGAGTTCATCGTAAATGTGATATTGGGAGGTGAAGGCAGGTCAGAGGAGGTGGATCAGTGGGGTGTGGCCTGGAAAGGTGTATCTCTTCTCCCTTGATCTCGCTCTCTGCTTTTTGCCACTATGTCATGAGCCATTTCACCTCCTCCGTGCCACCCTTAGAGCCCGCTGACTACAAACCAAAACTTCCACAAACTGTGAGCCTAAGCAAACCCTTCCTCCTTAGAGTTGTGGGTGTCTGGTATTGTGTCTCAGTGAAGAGAAAGTAACTAAGACACACAGATTATACACATTGGCCTCTTTTCATTAGTGGTCGTTAGCGATCGTTTGTCTGGGCTGGACCACTTAATACGAATTTCTGTATTTTTGAATATGAGAACACACAGAAAGCCTTTGAACAGTCAGAAATACTGTAACACAAAGCTCAATCCCTCCCCTCAGGGGAAAGCCCTCCAACCTTTCCTTACTCTGAGCCTACTGACTTTTATTGAATTCACATACAATTCTCACAATGCTAATAATTTCATTCCTCCTACAAGAATATTAGAAACATTTCTAAAAGAATGTATAAGACGGTAGCTTGAAGCAATTGCTTTTGTTATAGTCATACAGTTTTATAGTAAAACACTGGAGAGAAATAAAATAATAAACATAAAATCAGATTGATAAATTCCAAAAGCCTGGGAACTTGGGGCCATTTGGGGGCAGTAGCAAAGAGCTATTTCCATCGGAATAGACCCAAGGGCATCAGCTGTATCCACTACAACCAAAAAGAGAATGATGGATTGCTCCTCCCAGTTTAAATCCTGTCTAGGGTCTTCTTTTTAAGAAAGCTAAGAAAGTCGTTGTTTAGTTTTTAAGGTTTCCATCTGACATGATCAATATGCAAAGTGAATTCCTCTTTATTTGTATGACATCCTCCTTAGACATGGTCAGGAAGGCAGTAAGGTCCTCAGCAGGCTCTGTGGGGACGTGGGAGATGCACAGTGATGGTCGTTCTGGTGATGCTGGTAGTCTTTCTCAGCAAGCCAGCAAGAGGGTGCTTGCTCCGGGAGCAGGCCGGGTTGTCCCTTCTACCTGTGTCTGCCACCCTCACCTCAAACCCCGCACACTCTTGCAGAGGAAGTACATGTGGCCCTGGTATAGGGCACACCATCCACCCAAGATGACGTCCCCCTAAAAAGTTCACAAGGCCCCTTGGTCACCTCACTTAGTGATTCCAGGGTCTCACTGTAACTTCCATGCTCTTTAATAGTAATTAACTAATCATCCACAAAAAGGGTCCAAAATGTTTAAGAAAGCCATGGCAGATGTGTGATGGAGTGTGGGTGGCAGGGCCCCGAGTAAAGTCCAAGAGGGACAGGCTGCCTGGATGAGTCGTTCCCCAGTAGACTGGCTGAGGGGGCAGCTCAAAGCCCAGGGTTTGCTGCCTGTTACTTGGACAAAATGGTTTGGGGAGGAAAAAGTTTTCCTCCATGATGTTGGGGTGATCCCTTGATGTTTTGGG